TGTACTAGATTATTAGAAGAATTATCATTCAGGATTATGACTTCTTCATGCAACCCTTTCATGGAACTCCCTGATCAACTTGGCTACGTTCAATGCAGTTTTTGCGCTACCAATCTTCTGGTTTTCAGATTTACTTTCTGGCCATTTGGGCTTCTCTTTCAAATATATCCCTGACCTTTGTTTTTTTTTTCCCCTGAATATATGTATATTTAATTTCTATTGATGGACATGCATGCAGGTGAGTGTACCATGTAGTAGTCTTTTGAAGATGGTGACTGTTAAATGTGGGCACTGCACTTGCTTGCTCTCTGTTAGCCTGGCAAGGGCTTCATTGCTTCCTTTGCATTTGCTTGCTTCTCTTGGAGATGATGAGGTACAGTTGATTGAGTCCTTTTTCACCTTATTTTTCCTTACCATCTCATATTGTTAAGCACATTTCTGAATTTAATTTATTAGGAGATAAATCAACTAACTGGTGATGTTTTGCCCAAAACCTGCAACGATGGAGAGGATGGTACTGTAAGAGATGAGGAGGAATTAGGGAAAGAGAGCTCCCCCTCACCCACTTGCTCAACAAACGTAAACTTCTTCTTCTGCTTTTAATTTGTTCTCGTGAATCCAACACGTTCATTGATCAGGAAATTCAGTAACTAGCTACTAACTATTCATCTCGATCGGTGTTAATTTGATCACAGCTCCAGAGAAGAGGCAGAGGGCTCCTTCCGCCTATAACCGCTTCATCAAGTAATTTCTGAGCCATGCGTTATTATTATTATTTTGAATTATTAGCTAGCTGCATGCATGCACGTAATTTCTGCATAGTTCAAAATCTTACCCCCAAATGCATCTTTTATGGAACACAAGGCATTTATCCAGTTACCATCTAAAATTTTGTAACCAAACACCGCAGAGAGGAGATACAAAGAATCAAAGCGAGAGAACCAAGCATCACTCACAAAGAGGCCTTCAGTACTGCTGCAAAAAATGTATGTAAAGTGAACAGATTAATCTGATACAAGCTTCTTCCATTTCCATTAACAAGGATCAATTAGTATGATCATGTTAACTTGCAGTGGGCTCACTTCCCTCGGTTGCAGCACAAGCATGGAAAGGGTGAGAGCTCAAGTTGTGGGGAGGAGAAGAAGGCAAGAGATGGAGGCACAAATGAGGTTAATTAATTAGTACCTTGTCTATATTAATCAGCTCCTTGGCTAGTTTTTATTGTAGGGTTAAAATTCCCAATAATAAAGAAGTATTTGATTAACAAGTATGGTCTCCTTTTTGGCCTCAATGTATTTCAGAAGGCTATGTCATTATTAAGCATGTGCAACATGCATGGATACTTACATATTTTGACCTGGATATATGCTCTAAACATGCACGGAGAGTGTCTACTAAGTTGCCGACCTAAGCTCTTATTCTTATTTTGGTTAACTTTTGAATTAAAATGAGCTTTCTTCACATATATAGGCACATAACCCTACAATCCACGGGCATTATATAAGCCCATCATTGTTACTTGCTCAGCTACCATACTGTCTCATCAAACTATATGAAAACATACTTGATAAGGTTCATATCATAGACTTTGGTCCTGATCAAAGAGCTACAAGATAAAGACTAGGATTAGACTTAAATCTTGTTGCTTCTCTTACATATGGAGGTGTAGATGGGAAAAAGAAGATTATAATGACAGTGATCACCTAATCTAGATTATGGTGCAATAGATAGAAATGCCAAAAGCAGGAGACATTTTAGGCAAATAGCACATATGAAGGCCAATTGGTTTAGGAAGTTAAAGTTAGGTCTCTCAACTTTCTATCTGTTCATTAATGTATTATCAGAATCACAGGCATCAAAATTTCTTACTAATTTTCTCAAAATTCAAATGTTGATTGGTTTTTTCTGTTTTGCATTCTTGTAGGAAGACAACTAGAGTCAGGGTTTTCACGAGAGAAAAACATCAAGGCAGTCGCTGTGAGTCAAGACACGCATGCCCTTGTGAGAAAAGAAACTAGAAAATCTATGATTAATGAGAAAGAATGTCTAGTGTACTTATGCAGGCAGTAACTTAAGATTTCATCGCAACGAAATGTATGGACAGATGAACTTTCTCTTTTCTACCTTTTGTAAGTGGTAGTCTCTAATTAGCATATATCATTTGCTTATAGTAGAATTTGCTTGACAAGGTTCGAGGTGAATCTTCAGAGGAATGTGACAGCGATAAGTATGAAGAAATACACTAGTTTAAGATGTACATATTTTTCCTAACGGAGCTCTTCCGCGAGTGTGATATGTGTAGGTTTTAAATAAATTATGTATGATATGGTTTGTTCTCAGCCAGAGAGAAATCAAATTATTTCCAACTAAATTTGCCCATGATGTTATATTCCAGGAGGCCTGTTTCTCTATGGGGATGAATACCTATCAGAAAGATAGTTAACTTAAAACCTATCTGAAGGAGAATAATATTGATTGCATAGAATCTTAAATCTTCAAGTAAATGAAATGCTTCCATCGACTATGTCAATTAATGTGCTTCCTCCAAGACAGGAGGAAGACAAACTCCAAGAAGCCTCTTGGAGACTATATGATCATATATCGTAGATTTATGGCGCAATGTATTGTTGGCGCCTATGGTTAAATCTGGAATAATATAGATATATAACAGCAAAAACTGAACAGAAAACTAAAGTGTTGTAATTTAAAATTATTCAACTCAACTGTTGTGCGTTTGTAAAACGCTGTACTTAAAGCATTATTTGGCCTACTCCGATACAAGGATCCTAAGGCCAAATTGCTTCCAGGAACAGCAGTCCAGTACTCTAGTGTGCACCGACCCTAGTACTGTCAAGATCTCCTCGATCTATAAGGCAAAGATCTCCTCGATCTATCAGGCAAAGATCTCCTCGATCTATAAGACCTTCTCGGTCTAGGCACTGTTCCTACGAGCACTAGCTATTCTACAATATATATACCTGTATATATTGATTGTTGTTTTTGAAATAAATTTTTCTTAAGGATTTGAGGTCTATTTATAGTATTTAGGAAAATACTATGTACTAATAAAATAATATATTTTACTATGCATGTGAGCTCACATCCAAATTTTTCTTCGATGGGGCCCATCACTTTTGAAAAAATAAAGAAAACATGGGCTGCTGCAGCAGCCCATGTGAGGGAAAATATTCAACAATCCCCCATAATTTTTTTAAAACTAGTGTTGTGTAACGGTGTCACCGTTTCAATCGTTGTGCACAAGGAAGATGTCGCAAGAACTTGAATCCCCTTTTAGACCAACTGAATAAAAGATAGATGTATAGTGTCGCAAAGACTTGAACCAGCACATGTCTAAAAATACAGCGATCACACAAGATCAAAATTATATGTGGTAGTTTTCACTTTGAACCACACTTGCCTTTATCTTTACATTTACCTTGCCTTTGCCTTTGCCTTTGCACATTTATGGCCCTGTGCATGTCCTGGTTTCTGCTAGGACTCTAGGTATCTTTCCACAAGACATCATAGGAGACGGCTAAAACTTCACACATGCATAGGTGAGTTCTTTAGGTATGTTTCCTATCAAACATCCATCATCCGAAATGCTTTGAACTCATTAAGGCTTAAGAGTCACCCTCTCTCATGATAGGATTCTAGGTGGGTCTTTTAGGTGTGTTTCCTATCTATCACCCTGCATCCGAAATGCTTTGGACCCATTAAGGCTTAACAACCATCCCCTTTACATGATAGGATTCTAGGTGAAAAGATTAAAGTTTTACTCGGGTAGTTCAGCTAGGTAAGGATAGTATTAGAGGTTGATCAAAGATCAATTAAGTACCTCGTTCCTTATGGAGCGCGTTACGTAACCCCCAAACATTGTCTTAGACACCGACTAATCAAAGAAAACTTGAACCCTTTTACTTGTAAATCTTACTTGACTTTTGAACCATTTATCTTGTCATTAGTAGTATAAGCTTTGAACTAATAACTAGATGTAAATGGTAAGTATTTGTAAGACTCACCAAACTTTGTAAATCTTACTTGATTTTTGAACAAATTATTTTATTATTAGTAGCATAAGCTTTGAACTAATAATTTAATAAACATGGTAAATATTTGTAAGACTTACAAAACTTTAAGACCCATTCCAGCAGACGTCCTTTCGACTATATCCTTTTTTAGACCCTTAGTCAAAAGATCAGCCACATTCTCTGAAGATCGAACATCAATCACAGAGATGACTTTTTGACAAATGAGCTCTCTCAAATAGCCATGCTTCAGACGAATGGTCCGCTTCTTTCCATTGAACATCGAGTTCGCTACCACAACACTTGTCGCTTGATTATCACAATAGATAGTAATTGCACCTTATAATTTTGTCAATGGAAGGTCTCGAAGAAAACAACTGAGTCATTCAGCTTCATCTCCTACAACACAGAGTGCGAAGAATTCAGATTCCATCGATGACTGTGCAATCATGGTTTGCTTCTTAGACTTCCACGAGACGATAGCTCTACTCATGGTGAAGACAAAAACTCTAGTAGACCTGCACTCATCTGGTTCTGAGCACCAGCTCGCATTTGAATAACCTTCGATTATACCCGGATATCCAGTGTAGAATAGGCCTAGACTTGTAGTTCCTTTCAAGTATCTCATCAATCTCTGGACAGCATCCCAATAAAGCTTTCCAGGATTACTTATGAACCTACTTAGCATTCTTACAGCGAATGCTATATCTAGCCTTGTGCAGCTCATCGTGTACATAAGACTTCCAATGATCTTTGAGTACCTTAGCTGCTCTACTGGTCTTCCAGTGTTCGGTCGAAGCTTCTTGTTGTAATCATATGGCACTGATAGTTCTGGCAAGTCGTTGTAGTCATACTTCCTTAGCATGCTCTCGACATAATACGATTGAGACAATCCAATACCCTCTTCAGAGTATATGATTTTGATTCCGAGAATCATGTCCGCAGTTCTAAGATCCTTCATGCTGAACTGTGCTGAAAGAAATTTCTTGGTAGATATCACCATCTCCAAATTACTCCCAATGATGAGCATATCATCCACATAGAGGCAGATGATCATCACCTTTCTTTCAACGACCTTGATGTATAGGCACTTGTCAGATTCACTGACTTGATACCCATTGTTGCGAACAACCCCATCGAACTTCTCATGCCAGAGTTTTGGTGCCTGGTTAAGTCCATATAAAGACTTAACAAGTTTACAAACCTTACCAGCAGGAGCATCAAGTCCTTTTGGTTTCTCTATATAGATCTCTTCTGTGAGATCTCCATTGAGAAATGCAGTCTTCACATCCATCTGATGTATGATAAACTTGTTAATCGCTGCCCATGCGATAAGCACTCTGATGGTAGTGATCCTGCAAACTGGTGTATAGATATCAAAGAAATCTATACCTTCTTTCTGAGAGAATCCTTTCGCCACCAGTCTTGCTTTGTACTTTATAGATATCAAAGAAATCTATACCTTCTTTCTGAGAGAATCCTTTCGCCACCAGTCTTGCTTTGTACTTTTCAATAGTACCATCATACCTTCTTTCTGAGAGAATCCTTTCGCCACCAGTCTTGCTTTGTACTTTTCAATAGTACCATCAGGACAGAGCTTTTTCTTTAAGATCCACTTGCAATTGATAGGCCTTTTACCTTCAAGTACATCCACTAGCTCCCAAGTGTGATTTTGGATCAATGAATCTATCTCATCATCTATAGCTTCTTTCCACAGAAGAACGTTTGTTGACTGCATTGCTTCTTGAAAAATCTGTGGATCTTCTTCCACATTATAGGTGATGAAGTCATCTCCAAAATCTTTCTGTCTTCCGACACGCTTGGAAGATGGTTCAATAACTCCTTCATCGTTGACTGACTCCTCTTGTGTATCTGATGTACTAGCATTCTCTACTATATCTTTGAGCAATAAGCCTTTATGTTTGATAAACTTATCCTTAAAGAATTCTGCATCTTGAGCTTTAATGATGGAGTTGGTTCTAAGGTTCAGGAACCTGCACGCATTGCTATCTCTAGCAAAGTCAAGAAACACACATCTGCTTGCCTTTGACCCGAGCTTAGGTCTTCTGATATCTAGAATTCGAATGTATGCGAGACACCCCCACACTTTGAGACTATCCAAAGAATCTGGATATCCCAACCATAACTGATGAGAAGTATTATCAGTTTTAGAGTAGGGTACTCTGTTCAGAATCCAGTTTACCATCAGCAAAACCTCTCCCCAATAGCAAGTAGGAAGACCAGATGTGATTAGCATCGAATTTACCATCTCGGTCAATGTGCGATTCTTTCTTTCTGCAATCTTATTAGATTGTAGAGAATACAGAGCAGTAGTTTCAGCAATGATTCCATGCTCCTTGAAGTATGCTTTTGACTCCTTAGATCGGTACTCTCCTCCTCTATCTCTCCTGAGTTTTTTCACCTACAGTCCAAGTTGTTTCTCCACTCGAGTCCAAAACTCGACAAACTTGCTGAATGCTTCATCTTTATATTTTAACAGGTAAACGTGACAGAAGCGAGAATGATTGTCAATGAATGTGATGAAGTACTTCTTGCCGCCACGAGTGAAGAAGCTCTTAAAGTCACAAGTATCTGAATGAATCAGATCCAACAGGTTAGTGCTTCTCGTGACACTTGAAAATGGCTTCCTCGTCAACTTTGCTTGCCCACAAAATTCACACTTCTCAGGTTTGCTACCCCCACATTTTGAAAGTAATCCTAACTTCTCCATGCTAGATAGTTTTCTATAATTTACATGTCCTAGCCTATTATGCCATAATGCAGTGGAATAAGTAGAATAGGATACTTTATTTATAACCAAGTTGGGTGCTATAGTACTGATTTTATACATGCCATCAGTACGATATGCATTGCCAAAATATATTTTCTTAAAGGATAATACAGCCTTACCTCCTTAGAAATCCAGCCTCATACCTGCATCACGTAGCAGGCTTCCAGAGACTAAGTTTTTGGTAATTGAGGGAATATGTTTCACATTCTCAATGTGAGAGTCTTCTTTGAAGAGAGAGTCAACACCACAGTCCCAGTTCTAAGAACATGAACTACAGAACGATTAGCCATTGATACGTTCTCTTTGGTAGTAACATAAGAAGAGAATAGATCTGATAATCATATTTTTATTACAATTTTATACCCTCACTATCTATTTTATATGAATAAATATACAATTAATAATTGTTGTTAGCTTAGTTTGCACATAAATATAAATAAATATTAT